AACATAGTTGACAATAACAGAGTTGACGAAAACAGAGTTGACACCAACATAGTTGACAATAACATAGTTGACAATAACATAGTTGACGATAACAGAGTTGACGATAACAGAGTTGACGATAACGGAGTTGACGATAACAGAGTTGACGATAACGGAGTTGACGATAACGGAGTTGACGATAACAGAGTTAACGATAACGGAGTTGACGATAATGGAGTTGACAATAACAGAGTTGACGATAATGGAGTTGACAATAACAGAGTTGACGATAACGGAGTTGACGATAACGGAGTTGACAATAACAGAGTTGACGATAACGGAGTTGACGATAACAGAGTTAACGATAACGGAGTTGACGATAATGGAGTTGACAATAACAGAGTTGACGATAACGGAGTTGACGATAACGGAGTTGACGATTACAGAGTTAACGATAACGGAGTTGACGATTACGGAGTTGACAATAACAGAGTTGACGATAACGGAGTTGACGATAACGGAGTTGACGATAACGGAGTTGACGATTACAGAGTTAACGATACCGGAGTTGACGATTACGGAGTTGACAATAACAGAGTTGACGATAACGGAGTTGACGATAACGGATTTGACGATAACGGAGTTGACGATAACGGAGTTGACGATAACAGAGTTGACGATAACGGAGTTGACGATAACAGAGTTAACGATAACGGAGTTGACGATAACAGAGTTGACGATAACATAGTCAATGATAGCAGAGTTGACGATAACAGAGTTGACGATAATGGAGTTGACGATAACAGAGTTGACGATAACGGAGTTGACGATAACGGAGTTGACGATAACGGAGTTGACGATAACGGAGTTGACGATAACAGAGTTGACGATAACGGAGTTGACGATAACAGAGTTGACGATAACGGAGTTGACGATAACATAGTTGACGATAACATAGTCAATGATAGCAGAGTTGACGATAACAGAGTTGACGATAACAGAGTTGACAGTAACAGAGACAACGATAACAGAGTCGACAATAACAGTCAACAGTTGAGAGTATATATAGTATTTATTCATCTTCGTTACGTTAGTTAATAAAATTCATTTTTAGTTGTTTGTTAACTCACGATGCATTACCTAATGTAACAAGCAATTTTTCATTTTATTCATGGTGATTAATTTAAGACTGAAATCCTGCACAGGGTCTCCAATCTGTGACTGAAGAGGATCTCAGATTAATGGGGGTTGAAGATCCAGATCACAGAGTGAAGATTCTCGCAGAGCTGCAGAAACAGCAGTGTGATACAGGTGTGTGTGTGATACAGGAGTGTATGATACAGAAGTGTGTGTGATACAGGTGTGTGTGATACAGGTGTGTGTGTGTGTGTGTGTGTGTGTGATACAGATGTGTGTGTTACAGGTGTGTGTGATACAGGATTGTGTGTGATACAGGTGTGTGTGATACAGGATTGTGTGTGATACAGGTGTGTGTGTGATACAGGTGTGTGTGTGATGCAGGTGTGTGTGATACAGGTGTGTGTGTGTGATACAGGTTTGTGTGATGCAGGTGTGTGTGTGATGCAGGATTGTGTGTGATACAGGTGTGTGTGTGATGCAGGTGTGTGTGATACAGGTGTGTGTGATACAGGTTTGTGTGATGCAGGTGTGTGTGATACAGGATTGTGTGTGATACAGGTGTGTGTGATACAGGATTGTGTGTGATACAGGTGTGTGTGTGATACAGGTGTGTGTGTGATGCAGGTGTGTGTGATACAGGTGTGTGTGATACAGGTTTGTGTGTGATACAGGTGTGTGTGATACAGGATTGTGTGTGATACAGGTGTGTGTGTGATACAGGTGTGTGTGTGATGCAGGTGTGTGTGATACAGGTGTGTGTGATACAGGTGTGTGTGATACAGGATTGTGTGTGATACAGGTGTGTGTGATACAGGATTGTGTGTGATACAGGTGTGTGTGTGATACAGGTGTGTGTGTGATGCAGGTGTGTGTGATACAGGTGTGTGTGATACAGGTTTGTGTGTGATACAGGTGTGTGTGATACAGGATTGTGTGTGATACAGGTGTGTGTGATACAGGATTGTGTGTGATACAGGTGTGTGTGTGATACAGGTGTGTGTGTGATGCAGGTGTGTGTGATACAGGTGTGTGTGTGATGCAGGTGTGTGTGATACAGGTGTGTGTGTGATGCAGGTGTGTGTGATACAGGTGTGTGTGTGTGATACAGGTTTGTGTGATGCAGGTGTGAGTGATGCAGGATTGTGTGTGATACAGGTGTGTGTGTGATACAGGTGTGTGTGTGATGCAGGTGTGTGTGATACAGGTGTGTGTGTGTGAGATACGTGTGTGTGTGATGCGTGTGTGTGTGTGATGCGTGAGTGTGTGAGATACATGTGTGTGTGATACAGGTGTGTGTGTGATGCGTGTGTGTGTGATACATGTGTGTGTGATACAGGTGTGTGTGATACAGGTGTGTGTGATACAGGATTGTGTGTGAGACAGGTGTGTGTGTGATACAGGTGTGTGTGTGATACAGGTGTGTGTGATACAGGTGTGTGTGTGTGATACATGTGTGTGTGATGCAGGTGTGTGTGATGCAGGATTGTGTGTGATACAGGTGTGTGTGTGATACAGGTGTGTGTGTGATGCAGGTGTGTGTGATACATGTGTGTGTGTGTGACACACGGTTTGTGTGATGCAGGTGTGTGTGATGCAGGATTGTGTGTGATACAGGTGTGTGTGTGATACAGGTGTGTGTGTGATGCAGGTGTGTGTGATACAGGTGTGTGTGATACAGGTTTGTGTGATGCAGGTGTGTGTGATGCAGGATTGTGTGTGATACAGGTGTGTGTGTGATACAGGTGTGTGTGTGATGCAGGTGTGTGTGATACAGGTGTGTGTGTGTGATACAGGTTTGTGTGATGCAGGTGTGTGTGATGCAGGATTGTGTGTGATACAGGTGTGTGTGTGTGATACAGGTGTGTGTGTGATGCAGGTGTGTGTGATACAGGTGTGTGTGATACAGGTTTGTGTGTGATACAGGTGTGTGTGATACAGGATTGTGTGTGATACAGGTGTGTGTGATACAGGATTGTGTGTGTGTGATACAGGTGTGTGTGTGATGCAGGTGTGTGTGATACAGGTGTGTGTGTGTGATACAGGTTTGTGTGATGCAGGTGTGAATGATGCAGGATTGTGTGTGATACAGGTGTGTGTGTGATACAGGTGTGTGTGTGATGCAGGTGTGTGTGATACAGGTGTGTGTGATACAGGTTTGTGTGATGCAGGTGTGTGTGTGATACAGGTGAACACAAATCAGTACAGCTCTCTTCACTGCAAAAGCTCATTATAAATTGCAATAAAATACATTCAATACATACAGATCTTGTTTAAAGTTGAAATGATTTGGCTCATTTTAAGACAGAATATTATGTATAATGACAATTCACAAATTCTCCTGTTTAGTAACTCGCCAGTTATAATAGATTTAGTCTATATACTCTGCTTGGAATAAGTGTGATTATATTTAATGTAGTTTTGTATTTACTAAAGCCTCGGTCCACTTTCTTGTTTTAAGTATAATTATCAGACTGCACCAGCAGATCACTTGACTATTTTCCTACTCTTCTTAAATCATTCAAGACTCGAAGTTTATTTCTCAGTGTGTATGTATGTGTGTGTGTGTGTGTGTGTACCTGTTCTAGGTGTTGTCTGATATATGTGTCTGTCCGTCCTCAGAGAATAACTGTACCACCGGCACGATGAGCAGCAGACACTCGCTGGACCTCAAGCGCACTGACCTCTTCCGTCACAGCATCATCCCGAGGCTGCGTCGCCGTGATAAAAGAGTCTCCGCCTCCTGCATCCAGCTCCGCCCTGAAGACCACGCCCCCTGCAGCAAACACAAACCCAGGTTCCTAATGACCACTGCTTATATTAAAGTCAAACATGGTTGATGCTCGAGAGCATGGTTCTGTCGATCTCACGGATTGGCCGGAATGCATTTAGCCACTCCCTCTAAAACAAACCCCGCCCTCTATTCAGTTCCTCGCAAATATGAGTTCCAAAATTTTCCAGAACCGCTCCCACTGCCCTCTAATCAGTTTAGGGTTGGGCGATGTCGGCCAATCTGGCATCATACGATGTCTAATGTGACCCATTGCGATGGACGATGGCATCGTCGTTGTAGGTGGCGGAGAATTAATTGTTAGTGAATAATTAATTAATACTTAACAATTTATTTATTTTCCCGCAGGACTGTGGCGTAAATAGGTGGAGTGATCTGTGTCATTGTAATGGCGTCCACAAACTTGGTACACGCGTGAAGGCGAAACACTGAAGCAGTGTACTGGCGATGTGACATGTTACGTGATAGATTCAAAAGAGCGAAGAGTTGTTAGATAGACACAAGGCTAATTAAATCTCGAGGGTGGCAGAATAGTGAGGGCGGCGTCCTTGAAGCCAACCCCTGGCTCAGCATCGTGATGTCTATCGGCCAATGGCGATGGCATCGTCTATCAACCCAATGCTAACGCCCAATTCACACGGGGCTTCAGCGTCAATGCTTGACTGAAGGCGTGTCTGAAGTTGGGGCTAACGCGATCGTCATAGCAGCGTCAGCCAATGAAATTCAGTCACCAATAGGCCACTGTCTAGCTGGTGTATTTGCATATAGCGATCTGATTGGCTGATGCTTCCGTCCGCGCTTGAAAAGTCCAGGGCCGGCGCGTCCATAGAGGCGACCTAGGCGGCTGCCAAGGGCGGCAGTATAGAGAGGGCGGCGTCTACGACACCTCCCTTACCACCTGCATCCTCAGTTATGTTAGCGACACCTCCCTCACCACCTGCGTCCTCAGATATATTCGCGCATAGACGATAGAATAGGGAGGGCGGCGTCAGCGACACCTCCATCAGCACCCGCGTGTCCTCAGTTATATCCGCGCATACGGCGGCAGAATAGAGAGTGCAGTGTCCGCGACACCTCACTCCCTCCCTCAGCACCCGCGCGTCCTCAGTTATATCCGCACATAGAGCACCGGAAAAGAGGTTCGCGACACCACACTTCATTTTCATAATTGGTCACTTTCATTTTCACATTGGGGTTGAGGGTGGCGTGATCGTCCTCTGCCTAGAGCGGCAGTTTAGCTTGCTCCGGCCCTGGCTGTGAGCAACGCCTCTAAAGCGGTGCTGACGGATCCACAATGCAATTCGGCAACACCTGACGTCACCCATTCAAAGTGAATGGGAAGCGTTGACGTTGACGCCCCGTGTGAATAGGGCGTAATTCAGTTACCCAGTCTGTGACTTGTATGAATGTTTGTGTCCACCAGGGAGCGATCACTTAACATTGTGACAACATGCGAAAATTATCAATAGCAATATATATATTCACTTTTATAAGTGGAAATTGAGTATTTAATGGAGCTAAACGTGTGGCATGCCCCTGGCCTCCCCTATATATTACCAAACAACAATTATCCGACATTTTGGCTAAAAAAAAGAGAAATTACTCAGCCTGTGACTTATTTTAAGGTGTTGTCCATTAGGGGGCGTTCCCCTAATAGCGTGACGCCACGCGAAAATCGTCAAAAGCCTTAAAATTTAAATGTACTTTTAGGATATGAGATAATTCACCCTGAGTCTGCAGTTGAGGTAAACCTGTGACAGCATGCCCCGGTCTCCATTTAAGCACATTCTTCTCCATGAGCGCGCAGCAGCGTGAACGCGGGCGTTGCGCAATACGCGTCATCTCCGAGGGGCGTAGTCCTCAGATCGGGCTGATTTTCACCGGAGCGAGTTTTCGATGCCCCGGGCGGCGTCACACACACAGGTGAGTGCGCGCGGAATGCCAGGAATGCGCGGGAGACAGCGACGCATGCGCACGCGGGAGGAGCGTGTGTGAACTCGTCAGCTGTGAGGCTCTCGGAGAACACTCTGATCATGAGCTCTTCTTGACAAACTTCAGCACAGGAACATCTCTCATCTGCAGGTGAGTTTGTGCGGTTGTCCGTGTTGTGGTTAATGATTATCCGCTGTTTGTGTTGGGAAGGGCAGCGCGGAGACCTTTGGTATGCTCAGTCCAGCATACCTGTCAGTTCACAGTACAGTTCACTGTCAGGAGATCATCTTCAGGATCAGGAAGGACGGATCTAAACTAAGTGTTCTGCATTTGCTGGTCGGAAAACTATTCGTTTTTCTGGACACTTTGAATGCATTAAGCACATAGGTCTGGCTGTTTAATATTGAGTAGTGGTGAAACAGTGGTACTTTTCTTAGATTACATTGATCTCAATCAGTGTGGTGTGACCCAGGGCATTACTGGGGAAAAGATGATCATCATCTAGTTTACATCTCACATTCAACACTGACATTACCTGGAGAAGTGAAACAGCACACACTCCACCTTATTCTCTGAAAATGCATGAAATAAAGTGAGTTTAGGCTTGAAACAAGAAAAGAAAATCTAAATAATATTGTTCAGACCACATCAGTAGATGTTTTATCATATACTTTAGGTCTATTTTGAGACAGCAGGTCATACTCCGGCTCATTTTCCCCTCTGGTAAATGTGTAATGATGGAGGAATGTTTGCTCTGGGAGAATAATGTGGAATATTGACTCATTATAGCCGGAGAGCTGTTGTTTTGGGTTCGGGTTTGACCTTAAATCTGCAGGTCAGGAAGAGAGCATAACATCCGTTTCCATGGTAACCGCTGCAGGTCAGTCCCTGATGTCCACAGGACACAATGCAGATGGGAAGGAAACGGCATTAACGCTGCATTTATAAAGCAGCTGCGCTGATGGGCTGGGTTTGGTCGCTCAGTGCTCAGAGGAGCGCTTAAAGTTATTATTATATGAAGAGAGGATCAGCTGATCATCAATGAAGAGTCTCGGTCTCATCCTGGACTAAATTGGGTGTTCTTTGATCATTGCATTCTCACAGTATTGAAGATAACACTGTCATATACAGTTAAAACCACAGGTTTACATGCACTCTAAATAAAGGAATATAACCATTTTTTTAAAATGTCTGATGGTAAATCATACTCAATGTTTACTATTTTAGGTCTGTTAGGATTACCTAAATAACTTACATTTGCTAAATGGCAGAATAATGAGAGAATTTTTTTTACATTTCTAGACTGTTAAAAGTTTACACACATTATCTTGGTATTTTTCTTTGCTTTTTAACTCTTTAACTTTGGTCAAATGTTTTAGGTCTCCTTCCACAAGCTTCTCACAATAGTTTGCAGGAATTTTGGCCCATTCCTCCTGACAGAATTGCTGTAACTGAGTCAGATTTGTAGGCTGTCTCGCTTGCACAAGCTTTTTTAACTTTGCTCACACATTTTCTATAGGATTGATATCAGGGCTTTGTGATGGCCACTCCAAAACATTCACTCTGTTGTCCTTAAAGCACATTTGAACTCATTTGGCAGTATGCTAAGGGTCATGGTCTGTTTGGAAGAGCCATTTGTGGCCAAGTTTTAATGTCCTGGCTGATGTCTTGAGATGTTGCTTTAGTATTTCTCCATAATGTTCTTTCTTCATGATGCCATCTATCAAATCCCAGTAGATCAGCAGTTTCTGAAATACTCAGAGCAGCCCGTCTGGCAGCAACAACCATGCCACGCTCAGAGTCTCTTAAATCCCCTTTCTTCCCCATTCTGATGCTCGCTCTGACCTGCAGCAGATCCTCTTGACCATGTCTACATGCCTAAATGCAGTGAGCTGCTGCCATGTGATTGGCTGATTAGAAATGTGCGTTAACGAACAGTTGAACAGGTGTACCTAATAAAGTGGCCGGTGAGTGTAGGCTTCATTCAGTGTTGCCACGTCTCATTATTTAACCTGTCCTGTATATACAAGTTCCTTCAGTTTTAAGTCAGTTTGAATAAAAGTTGCAGAATATGCGTATTATCATGTAAAATGTAACTTGTTGTACACTTGTGTTGTGTTTTCCTGTAGGAGGAGGAGTGTGACGGCCTTCATCAGTCAGGTGAGTGTGTGTGCAGTGTTTTACTGTAGCTGTGTTCACATCCACAGATGCTAATTATGTTTATGCGCACAACTGTAACGTCTGCTGATCATCAGTCATAGATCAATATGCATTATTTTGTGTTGTTTGACCGTGTTGTGTGTGTGTGTGTGTGTGTGTGTGTGTGTGTGTGTGTGTGTGTGTGTGTGTGTGTGTGTGCAGGTGTTCTCAGGCCTGAGGGATATGGACGCTCTGAAGAAGGAACTGGAGGAGGAGCTGAAGCTCAGCACTGAAGATCTGAGGAGTCATGCCTGGTATCATGGACAGCTGCAGCGCGAGGTGTGTGTGTGTGTGTGTGTGTATCTCAGCATCTCAGCTGGAGAATGTCTAAAGAATGTTCACGCTGCTCTATATAAGTCCTAATAGAGCATATTAGGGTGATGAATGTAGCCCAGACCACAGTATGCTGTATTCCATTTACATTTAGTCATTTAGCAGACGCTTTTATCCAAAGAGACTTACAAATGAGGACAAGGAAGCAATTTACACAACTATAAGAGCAACAATGAAGAAGTGCTGTAGGCGAGTTTCAGGTATGTAAAGTCTAAGAAGAAGTTGGTTTCAAGAAGTCTTGAGTTTTTAGTGGTTTCTTGAAGACAGCGAGTGACTCTGCCGTTCTGATGCAGTTAGGGAGTTCATTCCACCAACTGGGCAGATTGAGCGTGAGAGTTCGGGAAAGTGATTTCTTCCCTCTTTGGGATGAACCACGAGGCGACGTTCATTCACAGAACGCAAGTTTCTGGAGGACACATACATCTGCAGAAGTGAGAGCAGATAAGAAGGAGCAAAGCCAGAAGTCGCTTTGTAAGCAAACATCAGAGCTTTGAATTTGATGCGAGCAGCAACTGGCAGCCAGTGCAAACGGATGAGCAGCGGAGTGACATGTGCTCTTTTAGGTTCATTAAAGACCACTCGTGCTGCTGCGTTCTGAAGAGGTTTGATAGAGTTAGCTGGAAGCCCGGCTAGTAGAGAGTTCTAATAGTCCAGTCTGGAGAGAACAAGAGCTTGGACAAGGAGTTGAGCTGCATGTTCAGATAGGAAGGGTCTGACTTTTCTGATTTTATGCGAATCTGCAAGATCGAGCAGTTTTAGAGATGTGGTCAGAGTAACTCCAAGGTTACTCCAAGGCTTTTCACCATTTTGGATGCAGTAATGGTTGCCCCGTCCATCTGGATTGAAAAGTTATGGTGTAGAGTCGGGTTGGCAGAAACTACAAGCATTTCCTTTTTCGTGAGGTTCAGCTGAAGATGATGATCTTTCATCCAGTGTGAAATGTCTGACAGGCAGGCTGAGATGCGAGCTGGAACCGAGGGATCACCAGGGTGAAAAGAGAGGTATAGCTGGGTACCATCAGCATAGCAGTGGTAGGAGAATCCAAGACGGTTCATGATGTTTAAGTGTGGGGACCGGCTCTTCTTTTTCCAAATGTCTAGTTTAGTGTGGATGGGCTGTGGGACGGAAGCGTTTATTTACAATATAAAACACATTACGCCTGTAGAGACCAAACCAACATGTGTGTGTGTGTGTTTGTGTGTGTGTAGGCTGCAGAGCAGTTGTTGGGCAGAGATGGAGAGTTTCTGGTTCGGGACTCGAGCACCAGCGCTGGCGATTACGTCCTGACCTGCATGTGGAAAAATCAACCCATGCACTTCAAAATCATCCGCATCACACTGCGACCCAAACAGGTACAGATCCGCCTCAGCGTTCGCCAGGTCAAAGTACAGTCGGATACAGTGTGTGTGTGTGTGTGTGTGTGTGTAGGGTTACACGCGGGAGCTGTTTCAGTTCGAGAACGATCAGTTCGATAACATTCCAGCGTTAATTCGCTTCCACGTCGGCGGCCGGCGTCCGATATCACACTCCACTGGAGCCGTCATCTTCCAGCCAATCACACGCACTCTGCCTCTACGCATCATCAGCGAGCGGCAGGCTGCCAGATCAAGCTCCGCCCACCTGATGCGGAGCCAGAGCAAGAGGCGGAGCCTGAGTTCTTCTCAGAAGGACACGCTGCAGGTCAACACCAACAACCTGCTCAGGTCAGTAACAGTGCTGTGTGTGTGTGTGTGTGTAGTTGTCAAGGTAACAGTGTTGTGTGTGTGGTCATGGTGGTCAGTAGAAGGTTAGTGTTTGTGTGTAGTTGTCATTAAGAGTTTAGTGTGTATAGCTGTAAGAGTAACAGTGTTGTAAGTAACTAGTGTGTGTCAATAGCCCCTTCACACAGAAATACTGGTAAATATCCGGAAAATTACCAGAACGACTTTACAAACAGTGCTGTTCACACGGGCAAGGACGTTACGTAATTTTACCGGAAAACAGCATTCACACATCCATTCCAAAACACAGATGAATTCTGACTTCATTAACCAGAAATGAGCTCTCAAGCACTCATGCGGCTTATCCCAGAGACATCCACAGGCAGAAGCACTAACCTCAGCTCAGTCTTTACACATTTGACATTACAAACCCTGAGGATGGATCACTCGCATGTCGAGATGTTCATAATATGTGTGTGTGTGTGCTGGCACTGACCGAATAACTCCTGCAATTCACATGAACACGCATCAATCAGAGCGGTTATCGATAATTCTTAACACTGTTGGCATTAAGAAGGAACACAGAAACGTTATCTGACTAACATCTAGCAGCTAAATCTGTCTGGAGAAATATTTTAGGCTTTTAATTGTATAAACAGCAGATGTGAATGATTATGTTCTGATTGGCTGGAGAAGACGTCTCACGTCAGCACATTCTAGACATGCACGCACTCTTTCCGACAATCTTCTCAAGCAGTAAACCCAAGCGACGATTTACGAAAGCCGTACGGAAAAAGAAAAGCTCTTTCTTTTCACCGCATTCTCGAACTCGTTTGCTTTTATTTTCTGGATTCTGTTTTTTGTCTTATCTGATTTCTGGAGCCGCTCTTCCCCGGACTCGAGCCTGGTCGTTGAAAGCAGCTGGCTCCTCCTCCTCCGCGCCGCCGAAGTAACACGATGAGCTAACCAGACAAACTGGTTGCGGCGGGAAAGCCCTCCACATGGAGGAGGTGAGACGTCAGCCCAGCCTGCGAAGCGCGAAGAGGAGCGGCGTCACACCGCCCCGTAGTGTTCACTTAAAAAAACGAAATGCAGCCATACGTACCTCCAGCCACGTAAATCACGGTCTCCAGGTCTCTTTTCTGAACGAGCTTGGGTTGCACATTTTCCTTCACATTTATAGTGATTTATGTGTACATGTTCTTAAATCAAAAATGCAGATTTATAATATTAATATTAATTACAGGGTCGTGCTTTATATAGTTAAATCATTTTATTGTTAATGTACAGTGAAACCGTTGAATTCATGGTGAGGTAAGAGATGTTATAAAGTACACTGCCGCTCCATTTAAAGAAGTACCCGACTTGTGTCCTCGCGTCCTCGATAGTTTGTTCCTCCAAGTGTGAACTTTGCGTACTTGATATTGAGAAACAGCCACAGTCATGGTAATGGTTGTTGTGTGTTGTCATGGTAACTGTATTGTTTGTGGTTATAGTGGTCATTAACAGGTTAATGTTTGTGTTTGGTTGAAAGTAACTACGGTTGGTCACCAAAACCCGGTATCAATGTGGCACCGGTGCTCATGTACACCGCTATACACCGGACAGATTCAATTAAAATGATTCAAATAAATCATTTTGTCAATTAAAGAGTTTTTCTAGAGTAAAAATATGGGTTATGGCAGCTATTTAGCACCGGTACTGTTTTAAAAGTATAGATTAAGCCCCGGTACCGAAATATCCCCAAACAATACCCAACCCTGAAGCCAACTAAACACAAGTGTGCATAGTGTCATTACCAGTGTTGTAGCTAACTAGTGTGTGTGT